AAAGGGCTTCTGCTTCTATTTCAGGTTTGGCTTCCTGGAAACCAGTGATCCTGCTCACTTCATAAAGGAAAGGCAGTCTGACCTCCTTGCGACAAAAGAGAGAAGACTGGAGAGTGACGACGCCTGCGATGTGAGATTTGGAGTGTTTAAGACACATTCGCAGTGCACCCTGAACGCCACTGAAGCAAAGATGACTTTGCTATTTTAGCTGGAAGGGGCCCTTCCAGAACGGACAAACCCACGGTTCTCTCCGTTTCCACTCCTGAGCACCCCTTTTGGGCTCCCTTGGCCGAAGCCCACAGCTGAAGCTGGAGCGCACGCCACTTCTGTCTTGGAACAGCCCAGGATGAGAGGGTGTTTTTAGGAAGAGCAAACATTTTCTGCTAACGATATTCAAATGCAAGTCTGGCTGTCGGTTTGGGGTGGATTAAAAGCAATTATAAAATGTTAGATTCTAAGAAAAAAGTAGAGCTTAATTTAGTTATTGGGCAGTGTGTATTTTTTCTTCACTGCCAACTGGATATTGTCTTTTTATTGCCTATCTATGCCTAATACTTAGTATCTGTACCACAGATTTGCCATCTTTTTAAAAATGTAATCTGACACATGGTTATATGGTCTCATATTACTTTCATATCTTACCTTCTTACATTGATTTTGAGTCTTTAAGAACAAAGACTTCATATTCTTCCATAATCTGCTTGACACCTAGCATGGCATAAGCCCAGGACTCTTTGATCCTGCAATTTGACTTTTAGAAATTTAATCTTAGGAAACAATTAAACAGAAGCAAAATATGACATAAATTGAGATGTTTGTTTGTCACACTGCTATCTGTAATAGCGAAAACAAGAAATGACTTAAAGCTTCCAAAGTCATTTATACAACGTTACTAACTTCACATTTATTGACTGCTCACCATGTACCAGGCACTGTTCTTAGAACTTCATATGAATTAACTCACTTAATCATGACAAACATGTGGTAGGAATCGTCATCACCTCCATTTCACAGAGGTTAAGAAACTTGCATTTGAATTGAAGTACTTTGGTGCCAGCACTTAAAGTCTTGGCATTGTTCTGTACTCTCTTCAGGACTTATTGAGTATTATCATAGGTACTGAGGATAGACAGATCAACAAACTTAATAAAATGGTCTTCATGCAGCCATTAAAAATAATGATTATTAAAGCTATATAGAAACATGGAATAGTAAGGCAGCAGGAAAAGAAGAAGACCAAATATGAGACTGACTGACTCATAGGCCTGAGTTTACAGGGTCTGAGCAGGGCTGCTGAGCCCAGGACATTGTGGACATCCCTCATTCATAGGGTCATCGGGAGTCAGAGTTGACCCAAAAGCACATAATACACACATAGACATGGAAACATGCTCATGATACAAAGTTAGTTAAGTGAGAGAAGCAGAATATAAAGTATCTATGATTGCAACTAGCTAAACCTAAGAAATGGATGGCAATGTGCAAAACTGAAAATAGCTGCGTAATTGTGTTGCACTATGATATGACTTCTCTAAAATTAAATGTTATTTACTGTCTTTATTTAAAAATTAATAAAAGTTAATCCTTGCTACAAAAACGTCGACCTCAACAACTATATTGCTCTTAGCTTTTCCATCCTGCTGCAGTCCTCTAAATGATGCTGTAGGCCTAGATTAGTGAGTGTCAAGAGTTTCTCTTGATGGTACCATTACCCCGGGGAGCTTTCTTCCCAGTGACTCAGTGTAATTAGGGGTGGGGGTCCCCATTCACCACATGCACAACGCAGATTTGCACAACTATTTAATTGCCCTTGAATTGACAGTACATCAAAGTGATATCTTACAATGTCCATTTTCACCTTATATCTTATGATTTGTAGACCTAATAAGGATAAAGCATTATATGATAGTGATTTTTGGGAAAGGTGTTTCACAAAAATTTTGTCTTCTGTGGGAAGACTTCCAGTAAGGGATTCTAAATTTGAAAATGTTTATTAGTAAACAAACAGATACATCTCAGAAAATGAGTATGTTCTATGAAAGGGGAAAACTTTGGTGTCAATTAACTAGCAATTAAAAAATGATAGGTAATGCCTAAAGCTGGTAAGTTAATGCATTCATATTGTACAAGGTATTGTAAAATCAAAGAAGTTAAGCTATAAAAAGCAAACTGAAAACTTGCAACTTTTGGAGATTTTTCTCTCGTGGCAGAAGGGAGAGGAAACCATGTGATTCCAAATAAATGAATAAATAAACTGAGATTTTAAAAACTAAAATGTTTAAAAGAAAGTATATTTTTTGTCTGATAAAATGTTAACAGTGTGAATTAAAATTTATCTAGTAAAGATTTAGATTGATCTAATTTAATATTCTTTTTAACTCAATACATATTATATAATAATATGTTACCCATTTTGAAAAAAAAAAGAAAAAGAGCATAACAAAAAATAAACAAACTAAATAAACTAAACAGCAGGTTTACTACAGTGGTTATTAATTCTTTCGTGGTCACAAATTCTTTGCCCGTTATGGTGAGGGACATTGGTAAATTTATATTGTTTTACATGTGTTATTTTTATGTTCATGTTTAAGGTTAAGTTTATTCTTAGGTAGGGCATAGTTTCCTATTTTTGACGTTACATTTATTTTACAGATTTATAAACTTTAAAAGCACACATAGGTGCCAATTGTTAAAAGTACAAAAAGGGAAAAGAGAAAGTTTCTCCTAGAGGCACCACGAGGTAGTTGTTAGGGGTTAAGGTGGGCCCACAGGTGCATGTCAAGCCCATTTCTCCCTCACGCAAAATTCCCCAGAAGCCAATATACACAGAAGGTGCAAAATGGGAACCAGAGAGTGATGTTGCTAGTGGCTGTAGGAGAGCTCCGCACCCCAATGAAGAGTTGCTCAAGGTTGCCTCCGAGCCAAGGCTACATCAGCGACCCAGCTCACTAGTATTGACACCCATGAGAAACCTCTGACTCCCTCAGCAGGCACTTGGAAGGAGACGGGGAGAAGCAAGCTTGGCTTCGAGGAAGTGAATGAAACAATATCTTACTCAGGTATATACTATTTATATTTGGATATGTTTTCTCCTATACATTTTCTACGCTTATGCAAAAGAATGCATCGTTCTACAATTGTTCTACAATTATATATGTTTCTGCAACTTGGTCTTTTTATTTAACAATGTATCTTAGAGATTATTCTACATCTAAGCCTGTCGATCTCCCTGTCCTTTTTTTAATAGCAGGATATTATCACGGTATCCTCTGGAAATACACCTTAATTTAACCAATGTCCTACTGACTACATTCAGGTTGTTTCCAGGCTATCACAACTATAACAATTATGTAATGAATATCTTTATTTGCCACATGTAATCTCAACCAAAAAAATCTTGATGATATTTTTATTAGCATTACATTCAATTAATAATTTAATTTAAAGAAATTTGGCATCTTTATAATATTTAACTTAATATAAATATAGGAAATGCCATTTTATTCTTTTAGTATTCAGTCATATATGTCTTGCTTGTTTATTATTTTTAATATAAGATATTTTACTACTCTCAGTACTCTTCTAAATGGGAATTTTTTCATTATATTTTCTAACTTGTTCTTATATAGAAAAGGTATTGGTTATTGCATTTTATAACCAGTTTTCCTACTGAATTATCTTGTCATTTCCAATAGTTTTCCATGTGGCTCTCTTTCAGCTATGTAATTATATCATCTATAAATAGTTACCATTTTGGCTCATCTTTTTCAACTGTTTAAACGTTTTTTCTCTTATCTAATTGGGTAGTTCTTAATCAATATTAGTTACATATGTTAATGTTGTCTTTTCCTCACTTTAATGGAAAAATTTTTGTATTTCACCATTAATCAAGATGCTACTTTAGAAAAAGTTAGAATAGATCATTCCTTACCACTATAAAAATTCTTTATGGATAAAATTTCAATTTTACCAAGAGTTTATCTGGAATGAGTTTATTTTTAATGACTAAACTTGGTCACTCAAACACTCCCTGGCTTGATTTCCAGGGATAGGTCTTCCTTTAACTGTCACAGGCCATCTCAAGCACACCCAAGGCAAGGCCTCTTTTGTTCCTTCTACTCTGCTGTCGCTATTGTATGTGACCTTCACAAGAGGTTTTTGAGCCCTGCCGTTTTCTGCTAGTGACCACTGCTGCTAACTCCATTCTGGCCATACTTGGGATTAGAGGGAAAGAAGAATTCTTCGCCCTTTTGTCGCTCCAACCAATGTGAGACAATCATCCTTTTATCTTTCAAGATAGCTGTTACTAGACAAGACATTACCGAAAAAACAAGACATTACCGAAAGTTGGAAATGAATGAAAGAAATA